CTCTCTCTCTCTCTCTCTCTCTCTCTCTCTCTCTCTCTCTTTCTCTCTCTTTCTCTCTCTCTCACCAAAGTCAGTAAAGAATACTTTAATATTTGTATGTGTGTGTTTAGCTTTTAAAGCATCTTCTTAGAAAGATTTATGAGACACAAGAAACTTGTCTGGAAGAGGAGCTTCCCATAGACTTGAGATAACATAGCTGAAAACCACAGCGACATGGCAGTTCAGTAGACAGTCGTCTGTCCTTTCTCTTTGATGATTATACTGAAACAGACAAACTAACACCAGATTCTTAAATGTCCAGCCTTAAAAACATGGTCTAATTGGTATGTAAGTAATACTTAGCTCTTTGGAAGGAGGAAAGCCAGAGCAGAGGATACACCAGCTTAAAACAAGAGAAGGTTTTTCCAAAAGGGAATTTATGAGAAACTTCTATCTTCATGCAATCAAACATAGAAAAGACAGAATGGTGGCTATCATGCTAGTAAATCAAGAAATGATCTTGGAAGATCCAACCCCTAAAGCCTCCTGCTCTTGCATTTATATGAAGCAACCAGCATCAGTTTTCTTTAAATAAAATTTGTGTTAGTGTGTGTGTTTGTGTGTGTGTGTGTGTGTGTTAGTGATTTGCCTGCATGTATGCATGTGTACCACATGTGGGCCTGGTGCCCCTGAAAACCAGTAGAGGGCATCTGGAACTGGATAGAGTGACAGATGTTTGTTAGGGACTATGTGGATGCTAGAAACTGAACTTGAATCCTGTGCAGGTGCAGCAAGTACTTTTAACCACCAAGATATCTCTCCAGCCCCAGTGGCTTTATTTCTAAAGGAAGGGAAAGAACAGCTTGTTGTTATTGTGGCTGTTGAAAAATGGTCATATACCTGGGCAGCGTTCCCCTTGAATGAGAAACAGAGAACACAGTTACTGATTCAACAAGCTCAAGGAAAGAAAGAAAGAAAGAAAGGAAGGAAGGAAGGAAGGAGGGAGGGAAGGAGGGAAGGAAGGAAGAAAGAAAGTGAGGAAGGATGAATGGAAGGAAGGAGAAAGAAAGAAGTGAGGGAGAGAAGGAGGGAGAGCAGACAGACAGACTGAGCATCCCACCATAAAGAACTTTAACCACAAAATATAGCATTCTTCTCTTAACTCTACTAATGCTGGGGTCACAGACCAATGAGGATACAGCTGTGGTATTCTCCCCTCACCTGCCCAGGGTTCCTGTGAGCCCTCCCACCTTAAAGAAGTGAAGTGCTCCCTGTAGGAAGGTCTCATTTTAGCTGCCTGCCAGTCATTCATTTGTGACTAAGGATTGTCGTTACTTAAAAATAAGTGATAACAGAAAAGAAAGAGATCAAGGCGAGAGGAATAAAAGTACATTATCATGACATATTAATATATTATTGGGCCTTCAAAGATAGTAAAGAACAATCAGAAAGTGTTCTGGACAGCAATAGTAACTGCTTCTCAGAATTACAGCCATGAATCACAGAATAAAAATGTCTGTACACAGGCCATACACCAACGTTCAAACATCAAAAAATCTCCAAGACACTGAAAATATAAAAAAGAAGAATGATGGAGAATCCTACCAACAGGCACAGTGTGAGTTCAGAAGGGAGGAAGAGAGACAATGGGGAGGAAATGAAAATCAGAAAGGTTTGGGAGACAGACTGATCCCCAAGACTGGATCCCAGGAAGCAAAGAGGCAACCTCTTAAGGACACTGCTTTAAAACATAGTCTGTGATGCTAGGTTGCATTAGTAATATAATAATTAAAAGCTTGGTGGTAAAATGGAGACATTTCCAGGCAGACAAGACTTTAGAGATTTGAGTATTCACAAGAACTACATGAAAAAAAATTTACCTAAAGAATCTCCTCCTTGACGGGCAGTGGTGGCGCACGCCTTTAATCCCAGCACTTGGGAGGCAGAGGCAGGCAGATTTCTGAGTTCAAGGCCAGCCTGGTCTACAGAGTGAGTTCCAGGACAGCCAGGACTACACAGAGAAACCCTGTCTCGAAAAGCCAAAAAACCACCACCACCACCACCAACAACAACAAAGAATCTCCTCAGCAAACAGAAAGGAGCAAAACATAAGTTGGGAATCAATGGACTGAACCTGCTGGCTTAGCCCAGAAAAAGTGAAGGCAATGGAACTCAACTGAATGGAATATCTTATTTTTTAGACAAGAGAATTTCCTAACATCAGATTTCATGCTCTTGGCCTTGGATCTAATATCTTGGCTTCTTAGCATGCAATTGAGTATGTTTATTATCTTTCAATTTTTAAAAGCAAACTGTACCCAAAGTACTGCTTTGTACCCAAAGATCAATTATAGTTAACAAAACAATAATATGTTATAAAAGTAATATAATATAAACACTACAAAGTAATATAATTTTATATGAACATGTAGCTAGTGTAATTTCCTTCTCTCCCACCTCTCTCTATATATTTGTCATTAATTAGAAAAACTAAATGAGAAGAGATAGAAAAAAGTGGTAGTGGATTTAGTGTTAATATTTTATAAACTGTCACTAATGCAGACAAACCAAAAAGTAGAGGTTCAAATTCTTTATAATTTGGAATCCTAGGAAATTAAAAGTAATATAAATACCCCCCACCCAAAAAAAAAAAGAGTGGAAGCCTAAATTTAAGTCAGAATTTAATAATCAAGTCAAAACGTTCTTTAAAATTACAGTTGAAGGGGTGGAGAGGTAGCTTAGCTGGTAATATGCTTGCCTTGCAAACACAAGGCTGTGAATTCCACCCCCCACCCCCAACCCCATCCCCAGAATACATCTTAAAAAGCTGGGCAAGGGAGTTAACATTTGTAATCCTAGCAGTGGGAAGGTAGAGATGGATGATCCCTGGGTTTTGCTGGCCAGCTAGTCTAACATAGTGGCTGACCTCTAGGCCTATAAAACAGCACCTAAAGATAATACCTCAGGTGATCACTGGCCTATGCATTAACATAGACACATGGAAACATGTATCACACACACACACACACACACACACACACGCGCACACGCACACACACACACACACTCAGAAGGAAAATCCAGACTGCTAACATTATGTTAACTATGTTTGGTGAGTCAGGAAAGAGATGTGGAGATTTTCAATTTTATATGTTCGTATTCTATAACTTTTTTTCTACCACAGGCTTTCATTAGAAATTTGAGTTAAATGGATAAAAACATAAGCATTCTGTCCCAGGTGTGTGTGTGTGCGTGTGCGTGTATGTGTGTTGTGGTAGGGAGTGGGGGTCAGGAGGGGGATGCTGTACATGTGAGTGCAGGTGCCTGTTGAAACCAGAGGCTTTAGATCCTGCTGGTGCTGGAGTTATTTTACAGGCAGTTGTGAGATGTCCCAGGTGGGTGCTGAAAACTCAACTCAGTCTATTCCCTTAACTATTGAGTCATCTTCTGTCTTCACCACTTATTATTGTCTGCATAGTATATACTTACTTTGCACCACATTGATAAGCAGATACTTACAACTGGGTAATAAGATGAAGACAGGACCGTCATCTTTATCTTTTATAAAGTGTCTGCTAATGTGAGGGATTTCGTTTGTTTGTTTTTACATTTTCTGATTCGTGCTAAGTCAGATAGTGTGGCCTGGAATTTAGGATCTTCTTACCTCAGCTTCTGGAATGTTGGGATTACAGCATGCACTAGCATGCTTGGGAAAACCAAAGTGTAAGTGAGTTGTAAGTTCCTTGCGTTATTTATAACAAGTCTATCTAAAAGGGTAAACATTATCTGCTTTCAAAAATACTGACAATTGAAAACATTTTCTTACCTATCAACAGTCACTTCAGACAAGTCTTTCTTAAATGTTTGAAAGATTTTGGGATAGCCTGTCAAACGAAACATTAAAACAGTTCAACCACTCCATGCCACGGCTTCTCTAAGGAAAATTTTGTCCCCAGGGCTTAAACAGTGTGGTTGTCACAGGGGTGTGTGTTATGATTTGTGTATGCTGATAAACAAAATATCCTAGAATGCACAAGGACACCACCTTTCCCCAACTGTTAAGATACACCCACAGTAAAATGTGAACTTGGAGTTCAAGAAGCTTGTTCTAAATGCTCTGCTTCCTTTTAAAGTAAGACAGAGATTCCAGCAAAGAAGTTCAATCAGTGCCCAGGAGAGAGCTGCATAGTACGGCAGAACTGCTTCAGTAAGTAGTTCAGCACCCTACAGTCGCTAGTGCCCCAGGAGTGATCCCAGCTCCCAGCTTTTACTTTTACTAAAGGATTTCCCTTATATCCTACATTAGGGAGCCATCATAGCACTCAGCCAATACTTGATAGTGTAAGTGCTGTGGGCAACAAAGGGAGAGGGGGAAGCACCGGCCCCTGATTCAGGCCAGGATGCTTAGGGAGGAGAAGCCCAACGCTACTTTTGTGGGTTGAGGCGCTGCTGGAAGCAGAAGGCGAGCCCTCGCTGCGGCTGTGCGGCAGAGGCTCCTCTTCGCTCCAAGAAGGGCTGGACACCTTGCTGGGCGGGGGTGTAGTGCTCAGGCTGGGGCTGACCACGCTAATTATGCGGGGACGAAATTCCAGTGATTCGTTAAAGGCTTCACTGAGTTCCATGGCCTTCCAGATGTCATCTTCTTTCAACGACTCCGGGAACAGGCTTTGCTGCTGCTTGCCGGCTCCATCATCCCTCCCTGGCACCCCCTGAGCTCCCTGCTCCCCCTGCTCCCCCTCCGTTCCCTGATCCCATTGCTCCTCCTGCTCCTCCTGCTCCTCCTGCTCCCACTGCTCCCACTGCTCCCACTGCTCCTCCAGCTCCCTCTCCGCTTCCTGCGTCCTCTGCGCCTTCTCTTTCTCCACAATCTCCCTTTTCCCCTTCGAGGCTTCATTTAGCTCCTTTGACTTTGAATCCTTCTTTCCAGGCTTCCGCGCTCCCTGACGTGGGCGCATGTCTGCGGGCAGCCCCGAGCACGCGACCCTGGAGCGCTGTTGTTGAGCGTCTGTCTCCCAGGGCAACCTCCGACTTGGGGGGGGGGGTTTAAAGCCACAGGACCCCTTTAGCGCTCCCGGTGGTGGGTGGTCCCCCACTTCCCACCCAGCGTTAAGCTTTCTGCCTTTGCTCTCTAGGTCTCTGAACCTCTCTCAGCCAGCAGAGAGGCAACCTCCCTTTCCTTGGAGCCAGCCCTTCTTGCTTTTTTAAGAGGTTTGATACCTACAATGTCATTTGGCATCGGAGGGAGCCCTGGAATTTGATTTTTAGTAAAAAGATGCCTATTGGAAATTCCAGTAAAACTCTGTTTACAATATTAGATACCAGCGTTTGGTCTGTAGTTTGACATCTTATGATTCCTTATGTTGCTTAGTGAGATTTTTTTGGCATCCTATATATTTTGTTGCTGAGATGTTTTGGGTTGCTCTAGCCCTAGTTTGGTTGATTCCTTGAGCCATCCTTTTGCTTTGGAAATAGAAAACACCTGCGATATCTGGCCACCGCATGTCACTCTTTGTTTTGGGGGGCCTTGTTTTAACTCAAGGTACTTTAAATTATTTTTTGTGAAATATTTGCATATACTAAAAATGGTATCCAGGAAAACATGGTAGACATCTGGTTGACTCACTCATTAGATGCCCAGGGTCAGGTCTATGAGTCACTATGTGTGATTTCTGCAATGTCACTTGACTTCTGTTAGCCTATTTCTGGGAGGGAAACTGGGAACAACGATCCCTTTAAGATATTTGTGAATATTGCTGAATATGGAATAGTGAGTGGCTTGTACTTTTAGACATATTTCGTCCAAAGACCACTGGGAACACTGCAGTAGGGACATGGAAGTACTGGGTTTAGCTGCAGTGTGATGCCTTTGGAAGGTCCTATCGGAGACTTCCCTTAAAGTGGTTTGGGAAAGGATCTAAGGTTAAGGTCGAATGGAAGGCAGGACAACTCTGTGATGGGGACTATGTGGTGGCACAGTGGCCTTAACTTTTGTTTTCATTTAGACAAACCCACATGGTCCTGTTTTGTGGTTGGTTCACTGAGCAATTATTTTCATGGCTGTTAATTCGACACTATATTTATTAAACACCACTGTGAGCCAGATCTCTGTTGGGTGTAGAGCCAGGACACTAGACAGAAGCCTGCCTAAGTAGCTGGCAAGAGTACCTAACTACTTGGCAGGGTTCATCTAGGTCACCGGCATTAGAATATAGACCAGAGAGTGAGTGGCAGAAATTGTCCAACACTCCTGTGGGTGGGGCAGAGAGAAAAGGCACAGAATGTTTTTAAAAGAATGGAAGATCTTGAAGGCCAATGGAATGCTTGTCACAGGCTATCGAGGCAGTCCAGATGTTTGAGTGGCTTTGGAAAAAAAAAAGGTCAAATGTGGGTGGACAGGGACATGGAGAGCACCACATCAGGCCCAGGGCAGGAAGGTGCTTCAGAGACCCAGGAGGTGTGGGAATGAGGGCAAGCTCGGGGCCTGCGGATGCTCCTTACAACTGTGCTTATAGCCTGATAAGAGCACTCTGGTGGGGTAAGCATAGTCTTAGGTCCTGAAATCCAACTGGCCCTCTGTGTAGGGAAGCTACATGTGCAAAGGGATACAGCTGTATTCCTGCTTCCAGAGATTGCGGAGGACAGTCAAGCTGTGGGGAGAGACTGGCAGGGGTGGGGCAGGTTGTGGTGGGCATGCTTAGTGAAGACCACCTGCCTCCAGATGGCTTCTGCCATGGCTACATTTTCCCAATTACACTGTAAGATACATTTAAAGAGCATTCCCTTTTGGATCTGCCCAGCTTCCTTTAAAATGTTTTAGGGACTCTCCTTCCACAGAAAGCAGGGCCTTGTTTCCTTAGATGTCACTCTCTTGTCCTTCTGACCAGGGGTCACCTAGCACTCTCGCAATTCCCTTTCCCTGTGCCTTCTCAGGATTTGGGACTTGAGATTGAGCAAACTACATGACTGAGGTGATCAAGCCTTCATCCTTTGATAGGTGGGTTGAAAAAATCAGCCAGTAGTTAGTTAGTTAGTTTGTTTTGGGAAATTGATGCTGTGTTTTATTTATTTCATTTTTAGATCTGTATAATTCAGTTTAGAAAATACCAATAATTTCTATTAAAAATATATATTAATATATATTGGTTAATATTAAATATATATATGTATATATACACACACACACACACACACACACACACACATATATATATATATACACACACACACATATATATATATTGGTTTTTTGAGACAGGGTTTCTCTGTATAGCCCTGGCTGTCCTGGAACTCACTCTGTAGACCAGGCTGGCCTCGAAATCAGAAATCCGCCTGCCTCTGCCTCCCAAGTACTGGGATTAAAGGCATGCGCTACCACCGCCCAGCTAGTTTAATCTATAAAATAATGTCTTGAGAACTTCAGATGAGCACACATGTGTTTACAAAACACCCACATTTCCCCAGACACAAATATATACTATTATATGGTTATTCCCTCTGTTGTCATGTGCTGTTTGTTTCCTTTTCATTTACCACTATGATACCAGTACTTTGAGAAAGGCCAGACCTCAATTTCTGTACAATTCAAATTTGTTGGTGGTATCCAGAATATTGCAGACATTTCCACATTGTTGACGTATCATGGATGTAGCTTCCCTGTCACTTTCATGAGACACAGACACATTCTTGCAGCAATTTCCTGGTCCTTTGGCTTTTCTAATCATCTGCCCTGTTTCTTGAGCTGTAGGGACGAGAGCTGTGTTATGGATGTATCTATCCTCTGGGGGTTGGACACCCCATAATCACTATTCTCCGCCTTTTGAGCAGTTGTGTTTCTGTAATGATGTCTGTTGCAAAGAGAAGTTTCTATTGTTTGTGGGTATAAGCATGAGTATTTAGAATGCAGTTAGTAATTATGCTGGTTTAGTACAGTGGCAGTAATAGATTCTTCTCTAGGATCCATGACCTCACTAACACCACGTAGTTAGCTAGTTTTCCAGTAGCAGGGATGGCTTCTCTTCTAGTGATCAGGCCTTGAGTCCGGTAAGAGAAACACTGGTTACCGCCAAGATACGTGTGCCACTGTTGCGTGCTTAAGGCTATTGTGTGGTGCTCGTCTCTGTTGCGGTTCATAAGCATTACAGCTGGGTAGGGCTGTTGGCTGCTTTCTTCCTTGGAACATTATTGCACCTTCCAGTATTATAAAAAGCTAGTTCTCAGGGAGGAGGCTTTCAAGTCAGATCCAGCTGGGATCCTCCAGTCTTGTATCTGAAGTAGTTAATGTCTCTAGAAATACTTGTTTCCAACCTCTGAGATGAAACTAAAGATAACATGGGCTATAATGTTTTGGGGGTCATTTGGACTCCTCTTACTAACAACTAGAAAGGGGGGTTCTTATGGCTGATATTTGGGTTTTTGTTAGATCATTTTAATTGTCTTTGGACTGTCTCAGGAGTAATGACAAAATAGGTACTCTTTCTCCTAGCCGATGCCAGTGACTGCAGGATGATTTAGTCCATGTACTTACTCTCTGGGTTTAATTTGTTCACATAAAAATAGTTGTTGGGTGTTACACCACTAGCATTGTCCAGCACAAGTCCTTTCACTGAAAAGGGACCACATGGCAATTACTATGATAGAATGGCATATGTTCTATGGATAAAAATAAAGTCTGTTTAGGAGACAGGTGCAGAGTTATGAGCAAGAATTCTTTTCTCACACAGGTGGCTGATAGCAGAGGATATCAAGTTCACTGGGCACCTCTGGAAGGCCTACAGGCTGCTTTGCTCCCAGAACAAAGAACTAGACAGCAACATAGGAATAGTAGCTGAAACAGGGACAGTTTATTAGAAAACAATACATTTCCAAAGGAGGAAGTGGGTCTGATCAGGGAGAAGGGATCCACGTGCACAGAAAATAAGTGCTCTAAAGGCTGGTCTGGTCCCCAGTGTGGCTCGGCACGGAACTCGGCTTGGAGCTTGGACGGCACAGTGTGGCACGGCACAGCATGGCACGCCACAGTGTGGCACAGCAGGGCACTACACAGTACTGCACAGCCCTGCCTGGAACTGCCCAGCAGAGCCCAGTACAGCACAGTGCAGCACGGCACAGGTATGCCTGTGCATACTTTATTAAATGTAGGGCTATCCTACTCCATGTATGGAGTAGCTCATTAACATCTTAAATTTCCACGAAGGTGTCTTACAGTTATCATGAATCATTCATCACCTCCAGACACTGACGTACCAACCGGTGTTTTTCATATGACAGTTTTGTAGCTTTTGAGCAAGGCTCTCTGGATCTTACTCTCTTGGTGGCCATATAAGACCTTACTAGGTTACTTGAACAAGCCTTGTAGGAAGTGAAGAAGCTGGCTCTGGGTGACAGCTCTGGCACTGCCCACGGTACTGAGCTTGGGCGTAGGCCTGGGGGATTAAAGAAATACTCAGACTTGGGTCATCCTTTGTGAGAGAATGCCAAAATTTTTACTGAGCAGGTTCAATATATATACACCAAGCCAGGGAAGGAAAAATACAAACTCAGGAAAAAACAGGAACTCCACTGGGGGGCAATAGGATGTCAAGTATAAATTCCCTTCCTGGGGCACCATGTATTAGTCAGGATGTTTTGATCCTAGAGGAACCACAGAATGTTACTTAGTAGACAGCAGCATACAGAAAGGCTCAGCCAGGGCATAGCAGCCTTTCGGGATCCTACAGGTCCCCTGTTTTTATTTTATAGGCAAATAGCGTCTGTCTTAGGTCACCTTCTGTCAATACCAATTACCTGTCATTGGGAATCCCAGCCAGCCTCAGGGCCCCTGTCTTAGGTAGGTAAGGACTGCAAAGGAGTTGCCCATCGTTGAATAACTATTCTCAGTAAAGGCTGAGCCAAACCTGGGCAGAAGGGTTCTCTCATACCAGCAACACGAGCACCTGCTTAGTAACTGCCTGGGACT